CCCCCACGTGCAAACCTCGGCCCGCTCCCAGCGCAAACGGGACCCCGGTTCTTGGCCTCGCTCCGGCCAGAGAGGCGGTTTTTTTTTAAATGCTGCTTTTATTTTGAGTTGGGGTTAAACCCCGCCCGCTTGGAAGTTTCCCCAGCCGAACAATGGAGGGGCCTTTAATCAGGTTTGCGCGAAAGACACACAGGCCGGCTTTGAATGCCGGGTTTTAGCAGCCGGGCGGGGAGCGGGCGAGGTGGGAAAGCCAAACCGCCTCAAAGCCGAGGGCCCTTTTGAAGTGGCTAATCCCCTTTGGAAATCACAGTCGGGGCATAAAAGGCGCACAATGAACCGAGCCGCCGAGGTCAGGCGCGGAGTGTCGGGGGGTCGCGGATCCGCAGCGACGTCTCTATTATCCGCCCTGCTCGGATGTGGAGCCAAATCTCGCCGTTGTCGGGGGGAGCAGCTGAGCGCCTTAGCCCAGGCGCGGCGCGGGGCTGGGGGGACCGGGCCGGGCCGGGGAACCGACTCCTCACAGCCTGCCGCAGCGGACAAAGGCAAGGACAGGTGCTCGGAAAGGCCGGAGGGTCCCTGGCCCGGCAGGGGGCAGCAGAGACCTCGCAGGACGTGGGTCATGGGAGCAGCCCGGGGGGGGCTTTTGCCCCCGGTGCTGCCTAGACCCAGAGCTGAGCCAGCCCCTGCCCCCAAAGGGGGAAGAGACCCTGTGACTCACTTAAAAGTCCCACAGCAGTGGGAGTGGCAAAGCCAGGACTGGAACCCAGGAGTCCTAGTGCTCACTCCCCCCTCTGCTGACCCCCTGGATACCACTCCCCTTGCCAGGCATAGAACCCAGGAGTCCTGGCTCCCAACCCTCCAGCTCTAACCACCAGCCCCCACTCCCCTCCCAGAGCCAGGCATAGAACCCAGGAGTCCTGGCACCCAGTCCCCCTGCTCTAACCACTAGCCCCCACTCCCCTCCCAGAGCCAGGGATGGAACCCAGGAGTTCTGGCACCCAGTCCCCCCTACTCTAACCACTAGACCCCACTCCCCTCTCAGAGCCAAGGATGGAACCCAGGAGTCCTGCCCCCTCCCCCTCTCTGGATATCCCGCCCCCTTAGCTGGGGTGGACAATGCCGATTGGCTGTTTTTAGGGCAGGGTCACTCTGAAACTGGGAACAAAGGTGGCATGGGGGGTTGTTTCGTCTGAGAGCCAAATTCCCCAGCGCGGTGGAGACGGGGCCTGGGGGCCAAAGAGGGCAGAACTCAGGGGGCACCTGGGCAGCGGCCCAGGGGAGGCTGACCCGAGCCGAGCCGGATTAACTAGCCATCCCCCCCCGCCCGCCCGCCCTGTGTATCCACCCCAGACAGAGCGCGGCGCAGCTTAGAGGCCGGTGCTCCCAAGAACTGGGGTGTCCCCTATGGGCAGCCCCAAAAGCGGGAGGGTCCCGGGAGAGACAGGGCTCCCCGTTACTTCCTGCACCCCCGGGGAAACGGGAAGGATACGGGCTAAGGGATGGGCCAGCCTGGCCCAGGAGAGCAGGGGGGTGCGTGTGTGTTCAGAGGCCAGGCTGGCTGGTTCCGGGGGGGACACGGACAGGCTCTGCGGAGCGGCAGGGGGGCTGGGGGGGAGACAGTTCAGTCAGGGGATGGAGGGCAGCGGGGGGCAGGGGAGAAGGGAGGGGCTGAGAACCCAGGTGTCCCCTTAGAGCAGCAGGTGCTACCCGCCTACCCCCAGCTACGAGTAGGACTGGGGGGGGGGGGGCTCGTGTGTGTGTGTGTGTGACACCACTCCCTGCTGGAGGGGATGAGCCCTGCTCTGTGTGTGTGTGTGTGTGTGTGTGTGTGTGACACCACTCCCTGCTGGAGGGGATGAGCCCTGCTCTGTGTGTGTGTG